GTGCTGCTAGGCATTTTGGGTCTTTTATTTTAAAGTAAAAATAGATGGAGTAAAGTTTAAAACTAGATATCGTTAGGAAGCTACTTTTAAAAATGCATCTTCCTTATTTTAACCATTAAGGTAATGGTATATGGGGATCATAGTATCTGTAATTAAAGCTATCAATTTACAGCTACTTTACTTCAAATAAATATTTTCAGAAATATATAGCTGCGCTAAAACTATGGAACCTGTCCTACTTTTCTATGGGTTTTATGAGACCTCCCAACCGGTTATTATGTCCCATACTAGTGATGTTGGGTGGTGTGAGTGTAGTTGTTCTGTGAATTTTTGACTTTGCTGCAGAAAAGAATTTCAGAGAGAGATGTAGGAAGAGCAAAATACAGTTTATTAGAGAGAAAGACATGTTTAGGAAAAATATGCAGGTGTCTTAAAGAAAAGGACATTCACTGGTTCTTGACACGAAGCTTTACATAATTTTGCAAAGTTGATTAAGTAAACTGTTCCATAAACTGAGAGTGAAGGGCTGCAGGTATCTGCTCCTGAGTTTTGATTATCATCTCTCAACCTTTTAAGGTCAAAAGGACCTTCTAAATAATAAAAGCTACTGTTCAACTAGATTTGGGCTTTTTTTTTTTTTCTTAAAGAACATCATGTTTCTGTGTTTTGAGCAATTCCTTACTGTTTCTGTGATTCACTATATTTGATAGTTTCACATTCCAACCCTTAAGGTGGTCAGGTCTGATATGCTTGGTCAGTTGGTGAAGTCATGTACCAATAAAGATGTCTGAATGCTTACCCTGATATAAATTAGACCTGCCTAAGAAAATCTGCTTAACTACTTCTAAACTATGCTAACTATGCCTGCCTCAGTAGGAAACAAAAGGAACGATATCTCTCCACATGTCTAGTGTCTATTGTATTTGAATTCAATGTTGTGCAACCATGGGTTGCAACCCATTAGCTGATCCTGAAATCAATTTACTGAGTTGTCATCACCACTACAAAATAAAATAGAATAAAATGGAAAATAGAATCTATCACATTTATGTGGGTAAGTACTACTTTCTGAAATTTTTGTTCTAGTTGTGTATATGTATGTGTCTTTATCAAATCCATTCAATCCATCCTTCAAGCAACACCAGAACCATCTTTCTAAAGACACATCTAAAAAGAAGTCTTTCTTGACCTCAAGGTCTTCTCCCAGTTCCTATAACAGCCAGAATCAAGTCAAAACTCTTTCCATGCCAATTAAGACCCCTACTCAACTCCTCCCCCATAGTCCTACTTGTGATTCAGAAGATGACACCACCATCTACTCAGCTTCTCAACTTACAACTGGGTAGTCCTCCTGTCCCCACCCCCACTTCCAGTCTATCCATCATCTTACCTCTTCATTCTCATCGGGTCTGAGTTAAAATTTACCACTTCAGAGCAACTTTCCCAACCCCTCAATCTAGACCCGCCTCTAGATTTCTCACGGGTGTTCTCCAGCACACACTGCTCTCTTTATACTTCTCATGACAGTGCCAGCCGAAATGACCTTGTTCGTTCTTGTAAATGTGTTAGTGTCTGTCTCCCCAACAGCATGCAAGTCCCTTGGGGCAGGGGCCTGGTCTTTCTCTGCTGTATATCTAGTGCTGAGGTCAGTTCAGGGATTCTGCTGGAAGAGGCACTAACAGATCTTTACCAAATGAAAGAATTCCCGAGCTAAACTTGCTGTTTCCCAGATGTTCTTTTCTACCTTTTGATCATGGTATCTGTAGTTTCCTCTGCCTAGAATGTACTGCACCCACATGTGAATCTGTGGGCTTCTTTCTTCAAGAGTTCAGCTCTTTTTTTTTTTTGAGTTGGAGTCTCACTCCATCACCCAGACTGCAGTCAGTGGCATGCTCCCGGCCACCGCAGCCTTGACCTGCTGGGCTCCGGTGATCCTTCCACCTCAGCCTTCCAAGTAGCTGGAACTACAGGCATGTGATACCACTCCCAGCTAATTTTCGATTTATTGCAGAGATGAGGTCTTGACAAGTTGCCCGGGCGGGTCTTGAACCCACAGGCTCAGGCAATCCACTCACCTCGGCCTCCCAAAGCGTTGGGATTACAGGCTGAGCCACTGAGCCCGGCCAGGAGTTCATCTCTTTAAGAAAAAGATACCTGAACATGTATGTTTGTTGCAGCTCTATTCACAATAGCAAAAACATGGAACCAACCGTGTTGCCCATCGAAGCTGGACTGGATAAAAAAATGTGGTACATATACACAATGGAATATTATGCAGCCATAAAGAAGGACAAATATATGGACTTTGCAGCAAATTGGATGGATTTGGAGCCGATCATACTCAGTGGTTTATCACAGAAACAAATAACTGAGTTCCATATGTTCTCACTCATAAGGTGAACTTGAACAATTATAATGCTATAAGAAAGTGATTGGGAGTAGTGGAAAACTGTCAGGGGAGCGGGGAGGTGGGACTGGCAGTTGAGGATAACTGCTAGGGGAGGGAGGGGCATACCTCATCAGCAAGGGTACCTGCATGATCAATGTTTGTATACCTAACCCTGAATTGTACACACATCTTTATAATAAATAAATAAATAGATGGTTCTTGACACCTTGGCTGTGCTCACACTTGTCTCCCTTCCTCTCCCCTCTCCCCCTCCCCTCCCCTCCCCTTTCCAATGTGCTACTGGTGAGAAAGCTTGACTTCAGACCCAGACGGGAATTGTGTGGGCTCTGCACTGCTGTCTGTGAGACTCTGATGTCACGTTAGGAAACATGATTAATAGAAAATAGGGGTGGAGGGAGGAGGAGAAAGTGTCCTTAAAGACTGTCTACCTCTTTGTTTTCTCTGGGTTTACTTTCTTTCTTAATAGAACGATTCCTTGCTTTTCACCCTCTCATATAAAACCACCAAGCTAGAAAGAAGCCACACCACTTGTGAGCAAACCTATCTTTCTCTCTATTCTTTTCTTTTTATTTAAAAGGTCCTCACCTAACTTCAGATTCTAGTTGAAGAGGATCCTTGAACAGGGAGTCAAGGTCTCTAACAGCTTTATGAAAGGACTTCCCCCATACTCCATCATTTAGAAAAACTGCCTCTCTCCCTTTTTAGCAGAGTAAGTAATGCAAGAGGATTGTTGTTGCAAAGAAAGATCTGGGATGGAAAGTCCCTCTGGAAAAGGCCTTTCCCTGAGGATCTCTGGCTGGCTCACCTTGTGGGATTCAGTATGTCAGGAAGGCCCGGCTACACAATTTTTCCTCTGAGGTTGATTGCCTCCCTCTCTCACGGGAATCCTGACGATGTGAACACATCAGCTAGGCTCTGGCTTTGGTATTTCTATTATGAAGGCAGCCAGGACGACTGCTTTGGGGGTGGGCAAGTTGGGGACAGTAGGCTAGTAACAGGCCTAAGGGAAAGCCACAGATGGTATGAGGAAGGAGTGTCCCTCTGCAGGGGGAGATAGGACTCCAGCAGATGGGCCAAGAGCAGACAAGAAACGGGCTAAGGTGTGGATATGAAAGTCTACCTAGTTCACAGTTCACCAGTGAGCTGGGGGAGATAGGAGGTGAAAGACATTTTATGAAAAGAAACAGACAAATGAAGAAGCAATGCTGCTGTTTCGTAATGAAATAGAACATCACATTAATTAGAACATTAGACAAATTTCAAGGAGCCAGGCTTAGTGACTCATCCTTGTAGTCCCAGCACTTTGAGAGACCAAGGAGGAGAATCACTTGAGGCCAGGAGTTTGAGACCAACCTGAGCAACATGGTAAGACCTCATCTCTAACCGCCCTCCCCCCTTTTGTTCAAGGAAGCAAAACCACCTCAAAATGACTTTGCATTTGACACCATGACTCTCACTGAGCTCATTGGATCTTTTGACCCCGAGAGTCTCTGCTTTTGGACTAGACACCCATATTACCCAGGACAGGGCCATGTGGATTGGATGGGATGGGGGCTGTAGACCTTCTAGCCTTTTCTCCAGGTGCTCAGGCTCTGGAGAGTGTGTGTGTGTGTGGGGGGGGGGGCATGTGTGATGGGGCAAACGTGTGATGGGGTGCTGATGCCATCTCTCTCCAGGGTAGTGCTTCCTGTAACTTGCTCTCAACTTGTTAATGGAGAGAATATGTTCCTTATTTCGGGTAGAGTATATTCTGCTCAACTCCTGTAATCCCAGAATTTAAGAAGAAACAAAATTAGGGGACTATAGGTTACATTTTACTAAGATTTCCAGACAGGAAGTAGGGAGTCCTAACATGTATGGAGCAATAGGCATGCAACTTTGGACAAGTTACTTTATTTTCTGTGCCTCAATTTTCTCATTTGGAGATGAGAATAATTTTAGTCTTACCTAATTGTGTTCCTGTGAAAATTAAATGTGATTAGACTTTAAGCATCTTCAACAGAGAGCGGCGCATGATGACATGCTAGCTATGATGATGACGTCGGGTGATAAATCCTCTGCTTAGCTGTTTTGGTTAATTCTCAGAACAATTGTCTTGATGTATTTCAGCCTATTTTACAGCTAAGGCAATTGAGTTTCAGAGAGGTTAACTAACTTGTCCAAGAACATACAACTAGTAAGCTTCAGAACAGACAGGGATTCCCACGTAGGTTAGTTGGGCAGCAAGTCTCCTATGAGTTCCCACACCTCTGCCAGTAAGTGGGCACCTTTTCATGGGACCTCAGTCCTCTGGAATCTTCCACTGTGTTCATATAGGGATTCTGAAAGCATCTGCTGTGTTCCTATAGCGGTTCTGAAAGCATCCACTGTATTTCTATAGCAGCTTCCTGGATCTTTCTGCTGTGTTTCCCCACATCCTGATTTTATTTTTTCTTTTCAGCAAGCTTTCCCTTGCAGTCCCTCCTTGAGTGTAGCCTTGTTAGCTTTGAGGACACGCCCCTGGCCCGGCCTGGACTCGCAGGGCCCCCTCTCTCCACCCCTTTTCTCTGCTTCGGTTTCAAGTGTCCCCAGATGCCTCTGGGTCTCTCCTTTTGCTTTGAGCCCTCACAGGGGCTGGAGGGATTGAGGCTGGGCCCAGAACTCACAGTTCCAGGGTGACAGCGAAGGGGTCTTGGGGGAGCAGTGCCTCCTCCTCCAGCCCCTTCTTCGTAGGAAGTTTGGCAACTAGAGAAAACCACCGGGGAAAATGAAGAACTGCTGGTAAGATTGTGACACTGGTGAGGTGGTCAGAGGCTGGGCCGGCACCCTCAGAACCATGGGTCTGGCTTTTTGCTGCGGTGGTGGCATGAGAGGAGCCCAGGGGCCTGGTCAGAGACAGAGATGGAGACACGACAGAGTCAGACAAGAGAGCAAGCTTAAGAGACAGACGAGAGACAGGAAAGGTGAAACAGAGACAGCCAGAGGACGAGAGAGGCAGAACATCACAGAGAAAAGACAACAGACTAGGAAGTAGGTGCAGAAACAGTGAGATGATCGCTACAGAGAGAGTCGGAAAAGTGTAGGGACAGTGGACACTGGACACGTGCGAATTCGTTCTGTGTCTCAGGAAGGTTTAAAGCCATGATGAAAATGGGTGTTGGGATTTGATACCCATATGAATGAGACTTACCGGGCTTGAAAGTACGAAAGTAGTTCCCATCTGGAGGGACTCCTGCCTGAGACATTTTTCTTCTCTTCTCTTCAGGAAAATCCCTGTTTTCTTCTTTGTGTGCGGTTTCCTGGAACCCTGGGCATCTGCGGCAGTCAAGCGTCGCCCAAGTAAGGGCCATAGTTTTCAGATTTTGGAATATCGCTCGTTCCCAGACAAGACCAGGCAGGGTTGTGCTCAGTGAGGATGAAGTGAGACATCTGCATCCTTCACACCCTCACTCTCCAATCCTGCTTTGGGCCGTGGGGATACTCGTGGTGCTGGTTTTTGTGTGGTCAATACTGGGTATGGAAAGCAAGCCCTGGTGTAATCACAGTGGTCAGAAAGTCCTGTTCCTGTGATGCAGTGCCTGGTGCAGGGCCTGGTTCAGATGGTGATTGCTAAATGTTGGGTGGATACATGGATGGATGCGTGGATGGATGGATGCATGGATGGCTAGATAAATCTCAGTAATCTGGGGTCGGGAAGGTATAAAGAGTATGTTTGATATAAAATAGGGGGGCTAGATCAAAGCTTTGTACCTGGTTAGTGCTTTTTCTAAAGGCTAGGGAGTCTGTGTTGTCAGGTGAATCGTAGTAAGGCACTGAGCTCAGATGGTCACAAGGAACTTTCTGTGGTGGTGAAAAAACTCTCCCTCCCCATGACCTTCCACTTGTGTGAGGAGCACTCAATTCCATTCAAGGCTTTTTTCATCAGATTGAGAGTTTAATCCTTCTCATGGTTATTTTCTTCTTCTCATTACTCTTCCCAATTCTAAGATGCTAGCAATAATTTAGTTAGGACCTTATTTGATTTCTTAGAATGAATTTGTGAAACTAAATGCATCCTCTTTATTATGTTCAGGATGAGTAAACCCCAAGATCCCCCTAGTCCCCTTCCTATTTGACAAAGTTTCCCGAGAACTCTATTCTCCAGAAGCCCCGGTGAACTGCCTCAAGGTTGGCTCTGGATTTTCATTGGAATTCTAAAGTCTGTGGTGTTTGAGGAATATTTTCTAGCCCACACTACCACAAATTTTCCAAACAGACGCTTAATCCTGTGCCATTCATTTCATCATGCAGCCTTAGTTTGAAAAGGAACAAATGTATAACCTCTCCAAAAGGAATATTTTCCCAGCACAACTTTGTGTCTTATATCCCTCCCAGGATGAGTTGAAGGTGAATGAATTAATAATAAGAGAAGCGTAGAGTTAAAGCCAAATACACACCTTATAAGCAAGCTGGTATCATATTGTATTTTAAATAGTTGCTCAGTTATTATTATTGGTACAGCCGGCAGTCCCTCTGGTGGAAGAAGAGGAATGACATGCCATCTTTTGCAGGATTCCCTGTCAATTCAAATTCCAATGGTGGAAGTGAACTCTGTCCAAAGATCAGGATTGGCCAAGATGATTTACCAGGCAAGTAGCAATGTACCATGTTAAAAATACATGCTTCTATAAACTTGGGAATTCCTTTACTTAGGGAAAGTTGTGGAAAGGAATACAACCGATCTCATTTTGGACTTTTCATCTTGCATTTCCTTTCTGTAGGGTTTGACCTGATTTCTCAGTTCCAGGTGGATAAAGCAGCATCTAGACGAGCTATCCAGAGAGTAGTGGGATCAACTGCTTTACAAGTGGCATACAAGTTGGGAAATAATGCAGACTTCAGGATTCCAACCAGGTAATTGTTCAACAATATTCTCTCGAATTATCTGTCTTGGATGCATCTTAAAATGGAGGGCTAGCCAATGATAGAGAATGTCCTCATGCTCAATGTTTCTTGGACTTGATTTTACTTAAAGATGAAGGAATGTATTTACCCACCTATCTTCGGTGTCTGAATACTGCTCTTCATGTGTTCAGTATGTAATTTACTTTCCATTCCAGGAAAAAAAAATCACTGAAACCATTATACATTGATTCAGGACATGTTCTGAATACTTTGCTCTCTGTTTTTCTAAATTTGTCTGGTTTTGACTGAAAGGACCCTCTGTGAACAGTGCCAGAGGCCGAGCATAAATTTAACTGGGAGCCCAGAGTGGTCAGAAGCCTCACAATGGTGCTGTTCAGGTACCCTAGTGCTGAAATTATTATAGGTTTTAGTGCACTGCAAACATGTAGAATTATAATTCCGCTAGTCTTGAGGTGGTTCACTGGGGCTTCTGGAGAGTGGAGTTCTTAGGAATCTTTGTCAAACAGGAAGGGGACTGGGAAAGTCTTGGTATTCACTCATCCTGAATAAAATGTAGAGGATGCATTTAATGCACACATTGCTCGACTCTAAACAAAAAGCAAAATGAAAATAACCATAACAGAAGCAGTGATAGTGATGACAACAACAGCAACAACCAAAACTCACACATCACTGACCTCCTTCTCCGGACCTAAGCCCTTTGTTCTTTAAATTGTTTATAACTGAGGTCTGTTAGGGCTCATGTGACTGTTGAGTTATGAAGTCATTATGAACAGACTTCAGCAATTTAGTTTATATCACCTACTTATTTGTGATTATTATAATTATTACATGTCTTATTGCCCTGCAAAGAAGTAGAATCACAATTCTTTTGGTAGAGGAACAAGAAAATTAGGACTTCCGTAGAAATTAAGGTGTAGGCCAGGCATGATGGCTCATGCCTGTAATTCCAGCTCTTTGGGAGGCTGAGGCAGGAGGATTGCTTGAAGCCAGGAGGTTGAGATCAGCCTGGGCAACATAGTGACACTTTATCTCTACCAAAAACAAGAAAGTTACAAAATAAAAAAAAAGAAATAACGATACAAAGGTAAATAATGATTAATTAGAACAATAAAATAATATAGAAACTCTAAGTGCACATAAAAATAAAAAAATTTGGACAAGTTAGAAGAATTTGCTATATTTCCAGATTGCAGCTAGAAATTCATATTTTGAACATGCTATATACTGTTGTATATTCTATAATTCAATCATAGTGTACTGTGGAAACTCTTTTTGTAAACTTACTAGTTACATTAATCTCATCCTTATCACAGTCCTGTTGTAGGAACATGAGCATCCTTATTCTGTGAGGGAAAAACTGAGCCCTCAAAAGTGTAATTTACTTGCATCGGATCACAGGGTGGGGACATCCTGGGAGAACCACATCCAGGTAGAGTGGCCTCAGAGACTGTGCTTCTACCACTCCTCCACACTGACTCTGGGAAACCATTTCCATTTTGAACCATTTAATAGCTACATGGATTTTTTTTTGGCTTACATTTTCTTTTCATGTTAGTTGTGTTCTTAAATAACCTTTAAATTTTGTTTCTTTTTTAGCAAAATCATTAAACATGCCAAGAGCCTTAGTGCTGATCTAGCTTTCTCTTCTGTGATTCGAGGTACAATAGGTCATTAACTATAAGTTCAGAGACGGATGGACTTGAGGCCACAGGTCTCTCCACCTCCATTCACCTCTGTTGTTGTTGCTTTCTCTAGTACCTGGTACTGTCACTAACTAGGGTGTCCAGGCTTTACCCAGTGCCTCCCACTCACTCTCCTTGACTCCCTGCCCCTGCACAGACTAAAATTCTTGTTTTACTGGCAAGGCTTATGAAGGGATGGAGAAAGCAGGCAGGGAGGAAGTGGGAGAGTAGAGAGAGGGGGAGAGGCAGAAGCTTAGGTATGTGGAGTCCATGTTGGAGGGCAGCTTACTCTTGGGCAAGCTACATGACCTGTCTTTGATTTAGTTTCTCGGTTTAAAGTGAGTAATGGCAGTAAGAACTACGCTATAAGGTGGCTGTGCAGAGTACATGTTGGAGGCTAGAGAGGGCCTGAATGGAGCCTGGGATCCTTGGTTCCCGGTAAGCGTTGACCATGAGTGCTGGTGGGTACTTGGTGCTTCCAGGTGAACATTGACTGTGAGTGCTGGCAGGGCACCTGGTGATTCCAGGTGAGCGTTGACTGTGAGTGCTGGTGAGCTGAGGAGAAGAATGCATTAGACGGAGTCTTTGCTCCTTGGCAGATCATTTCTATCAGCCCTCTGGGTCCTACTAACCCAAAAGCCAGGTGGCAAGGAGAGCAGGGAGCTGTTCTCACCCCATGCAGGAGTACGTGATCTTGATTTAAAGGGACTTCCTGTGCTGAAGGATATCAGCTCTGAGATGGTGAAAATAAACTCTTAGCAGGAATTTTGTGGGAGGAAAAGAGGACTGTGGTATATGGGACTCACATGATAGAGTCACAATTTATCCTTACTTATCTTTTCAGTTTTTTGAAAGATTATGAGACATAATTTTTTTTTGCTGCTTTTTTTTTCCTTTTTAGCATAATAGTTTCACATTCTTTACTCCCACTAACAAACATGTTATGTTTTATTTGCTTTAAAAACAGAGATCTATCTGAGCATGGTGGCTCATACCTGTAATCCCAGCACTTTGGGAGGCCCAGGTGGGAGGAGTGCTTGAGTCCAGGAGTTCAAGATCAGCCTAGGCAACAAAGCCTAGTGAGACCTCATCTCTATACAAAATAAAACAATTGTCTGGGTGTGGTGGCGAATGCCTATAGTCCCAGCTACTCTGGAGGTTGAGGAAGGAGGATCACCTGAGCCCTAGAGGTCAAAACTGTAGTGAGCCTTGATTGTGCCACTGCACTCCAGCCTGGGTGACAGAGTGAGACCCCCGACTCAAAAAAAAACAACAACAAAAAACAACATCAGCAAAAACCACAGTCCGTAGCTTTCTTTAGGTTAAGGTCAAAAACAAATATTTACAATCCAAATATTATTTCATCTTGTATTCAAATCCTATGGTTCTTCATTTAAGGTACTCTGTGCAGATTGTAATAGAATGAAATAAATCATTTATAGACTGAGCTTCTTTTAAATTATGTATGCTGTCAAGTTTACTTATCTATGCGCTCAGCATATTTGCAAGACCGAATTTCAGGAGTTAAAAAAAAAAAAAAAGACATGCAGCTGACTGCTTTATAAATTAGATTTGTGAGACTTTTAAATAATCTTGGGTATATACAAATACAAATACACACATATTTTATTAATATAAATAGTAAAATGAATTTTTTCCTCTTTCCTTATTGGCATGCTATACTAGCCTAGGTTGAAATATTAATATCATAATAATCTAAATTATATTTGTACACACATCTACATATTATCTTCATATGTATGAAGAGAAAGGGACAGATAGCTACCCTTGGTTTAACAATATATCTACAGGTGAGATGTTCTTTTAGCAACCCCAAACCCACTCCTGTCCATGCTTTTAAGCTTTTTTTTTGTATTTTAGCTTTTGGCACTACACACACCAAGTGGGAGAATGTGGAGGCATTATGTCCTATCCTACCTTCAACATAGTCTCTTTGCTCATTAAGTAGGAAAGATTGAGTGAGGTACACATTAGAGGAAATCCCCCAGTTACTTTCATGATCTCTTTTCACAAGAGTCTCCTAAGTGTGTTACTGTGATATATAGAATTCTCACACACACACACACACACACACACACACACACACACACATTTTCTGTGTGCTTTTATTTTTCAAAATTTTTTATTTTAAATATGTGGGGTACAATTCAGGGTTAGGTATACAAATTTCATTATGCAGGTACCCTTCTTGATGAGGTGAGACTCCCCTCCCCTGGCAGTTTCCCTCTACTGCCAATCCCTTTCTTGTAGTTTTATGATAGTTGTTCAAGATTTGCTTATGAGTGAGAACATGCGATACTCAGTGCTTTGATTCTGTGATATATCACTCAGTATTATAGCCTCTAAGTTATCTAAGTTGCTGCAAAGTTCATAATTTTATCCTTTTTTATCGCTGCATCATATTCCATCATGTATATGTACCACATTTTAAAAAAAATCCAGTCCCCTTTCTTTTCTTTCTTTTTTTTTTTTTTGAATTGGAGTCTCACTAAGTCGCCCAGGCCAGAGTGCAGTGACACACTTACGGCCACCCCAGTGTCGACCTGATGGGCTCCAGCGATCCTTCTGCCTCAGTCTTCCAAATAGCCAGAACTATAGTGCACGCTACCACACTTGGCTAATTTTT